GTCTCTTGATCAGAGTCTGGAGATACCAGTGGTCAGACTCAAGTTACATAGTTATTTTTTTTAAACGTCATTAGCATTAGCATTTAACTTTATCATATAACATTTATCGAAATAATTATTACCATTATCCTCGTCCTCCTCATCGTCCTCGTCCTCGTCCTCCTCCCACCCCCCTATTCCTCCTCGTCCTCATCATCGTCCTCATCATCATCATCATCATCATCATTATCATCATCATCATCATAATCATCGTCACCATGATTATCATTACAATAATAAAATCAATAACAATATAATTATTGCCATTCTCCTTATCATTATAATTATCAATATCAACATCATTTTTATTTAAATCATCATCAGTTCCCATATCATCACCATTTTCACCATCATCATCATTATCAAGCTCATCCCATCGTTATCATCACCATCATCATTTCCATCAGAGAATAATAAAATAAAACACGTTAATTATATTCTTGCATTAATTATAATCTTCAAAATTAATTCAGCTTACTATGCAAATGTTCCATCGAGTTTGTTTATCGGTAAACGATGGGAAACAAATGGAGTTTAAAGGTCCAATAGCTGTTATCAAATCCTTTTTCATTAACCAGGCGAAGAAAATTGAATAAAAACTACTTTTTCCGCGACAGTGAGATTACACAAAATCCCAAAATGAAAATAGAATTATCTTTAATTTCGAGTCATTGATAATCTAAAATGAATATAAATATACAAAGGGGGAAAGGTCAGTTTTTCTTTTTCTTTTTCCTTTTTTTTTCTTTTTTTTACGAAACACTTCACGCATAATAAACACTTAATGTGCTGGAAATATCATCATTGTCAGTGATTTTTAATTATTCGGTTCAGTAACTCTATGAGCAAGGGATGTTTTTACTGACTGAATGGTCACAGTGAAGAAATATATGAATATATGCATTAATAAATATATATATATATATATATATATATATATATATATATATATATATATATATATATATATACATACACACACACACACATATATATATATATATATATATATATATATATATATATATATATATATATATATGTACGTACATACACACATACACATACGTACATGCGCGAACACATATACGAACGAAAACACACACATACGAAAACACACACACACACACACACACACACACACACACACACACACACACACACACACACACACACACAACCCCCCCTATCCCCCCGCCCCCCATCCATCGACACCACCCCATCCCAAACACACAAAATTTATCCCCAATACTTTCAAAAACAATTCAATAGCCGTCTTCCAACCTTGCTGGGAATTCCGTAAAAAAAAATCTCTGCGTTTTCCTCCAAAAAATGTACTTTATTGGCATTGGTTGACAGGGCGTGACAGGGGGTGACAGGTCGAGCTCCCTTAGACAGAGGGAGGGGGGAAGGGAGGGGGAGAGGGGGAAGGGAGGGGAGGGGAGGGGAGGGGAGGGGAGGGAGGGAAGGAGGGAGGGAGGGAGGGAGGGGGGAAGGGAGGGGAGGTGGAGGGGGGGGGGGGGGGTGAAGGTATGGGTGAGTGAGTGAATTGTTTATATGCAGCCTATTTCCCTATTCGTCAGACTATATCTGAGTGTCTGCTTGTATAAAGTACGAGCGCGCGTGTGTACTGTCGCGTGACAAATCGAGTCAAAAAGACGAGGCAAAAGAGCTCTCCTCCTCCTCCTCCTTCCTTCTTCTTCTCTTCCTCCCTCCTCCTCCTCCTCCCTCCTCCTTTTCCTCTTTCTTCTCTTTCCTCCTTTTCTTCCTCTTCCTATTCCTCTTCGTCCTCTTCTTCTTCTCCTTCTTCTCCACATCCTCCTCCCGCTACTCCCCCTCCTCCTTCTCCCCCCCCACCCTCCCTCCCCTCTCCTCCTCCTCCTACTCCCTCTCCTCCCCCCTCCTCCTCCTCTTCTCTCCCCCCCCCCCCTCCTCCTCCTCCTCCTCCTCCTCCTCCTCCTCCTCCCCCTCCCTCCCCTTCTCCCTCCTTCCTCCTGCCTCCTCCTCCTCCCTGGTCCACCCTCCCTCCTCCTCCCTCTCCCCCCCTCTCCTCCCTCCCCCTCCTCCTCCCTCCTGTCCACCCTCCTCCTCCTCCTCCCTCTCCACCAACCTCCCTCCACCACCCACCTCCTCCTCCTCCTCCTCCTCCTCCTCCCCTCTTTCCTCCTCCTCCTCCTCCCCTCTCCACCACCTCCTCCACCACTCCTCCTCCTCCTCCCTCCTCCCTCTCCAATCCTCCTCCCCTCCTCCTCCCCCTCCTCTTCCACCTCACCCCACCACCCACCACCACCACCACCACCACCTCCTCCTTCCTCCTCCCTCTCCTCCTCTTTCCTCCCCCCCCCCTTCTTCCTCTCTCCTTTCAAGCCTCAGGGACGCGGTTAGCGAATCCTTCCAACCCGAGTCTCCTGCCGAGGGACTTGGTTATCAAAGGGCATTTGACTTCGGACGGCCGTCTCCC